ACTCAAATTGCCGCCACGCTCCCACTCCCGCACACTAAACGGCACTCGTCTTCTCATAAATCAATTCAATCTCATAAATCAATTTAAATTAATCTTGATTAAATCAATTCAATCTCGTAAGGCTAAAATTGATTCAATCCCAATCTTGATTATATCAATTCAATCTCGCAAGGCTGAAATTGATTCATTCACATCAAATCCCAATCTTGATTATATCAATTCAATCTCGCAAGGCTGAAATTGATTCATTCACATCAATTCTATGGGATGCACTCTGATTAAATCAATTCAATTTCTTTTCATGATGATTAGGTTATTATACGTTTGCTGTTAATTATGGCTACAATTTGATGAAATTAGAGGTGCGATTTTAATTTTTTTATTTTTCCATTTTATTAGATGACCGATAATCTAACACAACAAATTTTCAGTTAAAAACCAAAACAAACAATAAATTTCAGTCCGGTTTTCGGTTCGACTTTGACCAACTGAACAAACATACATTTTATCTAATGTCTTTTAGGTACTGTAATTTATCTCCAATCTATTTTTTAATCACTATAATTAATCTCCAACGTAGCAAAAATCTACCGCATATTCATTTTCAAAGCATTATACATTTCATAATATTTTCTATTAGAAACTAATTTTCCAAAATTTTATAAATCAAATCTTACTAATAAAAATTTAAAAATAAATGAAATAGTTCATTCGCACCAGACATTTTCATTCAAAAAATTTTAAAACATAATAAACAATTTTTTTTTTTTTTTTTTTTTGTGCAAGTAAAAATATGAAATTTGTAGATACAAAAATATGGAATAAAAAATATATTTATTAACAATTAAAAATAAGTTCACTTGACTTTAAGAAAGTAGTTGTACTCCGATTTTGAAAGATTATCATATATTTCGGAACAAACATGTCTTCTAAATATATACATATAGTATATATACGCGCAAAAAAATCTATGTTTAGGCAGATTGGAAATTTATATTAAAAAAGTAACTATATTATTATGTAGGCAGGAATTATGCTTAATTTATATACTATAATCGATTTCTATGTCATTATTAGATATTGTTGAATAAAAAAGTATGTGTATAATTTTAATGCATATTATTAAATCTTATTGAAGACATTGATCTAATAATTATCTCCACCCATTCCTTCATGTCACCTTCATTTTTTTTAATTTTTATTTATTTATTTATTTTTGGCTTATAAATAGTCATGTAAATGAGTTTCTTTGCGGTCATAAAAACAAAAAAAAAAAAATGTTCCTACTTCCTGAGCCAACAAATAAGGGAGAACACTTTCAGTTAGTGCGAGAAGGATTTGCAAATAAATGGAATTCTTCCTCCGAGGAATTATTTTGTCAAATCATCCAAAGAACCGTTCAGACAGAGGGCATGACAACAGATTCTCATATCATGGACGCCTTCGAAAGAATTCACGAAGCATGTTTGGCAGAAATTAATCCCAGTCTCACATTGGAAGAGTGTTATGTTACGTTCATAGTAATAAAAGAAAGGTATCGTACGTCTAAATATTTGATGAATGGACCTAACGTGGTTTATTATGTCAGCGAAAAATTCCTACATCTTGACGGATATAACGGGAACAGGCCATTGAGGTAATTCGAATTGTATTATAAAATAGTGTCTACCTTGCGTATCATAAAACTATATCGTTACACTCGTTCATTGACGTACCTTCCCATGATTCACGTCAGGGGCGTCCCGGTCAAATCGGGGGCCCAGTGCGAAATTCCAAGATGGGGCCCTAATAGCCTATTAAATTTAAACAATAATAACAAATAACATATAAATGGAATATTTCAAGAATTATCATATCTACTGTTCACTTGAAAGTGAGGACGAAGTAGAAATTGCTGATTGATTCCTTTTGTTCATTGCATCACATGCTTTATACTATTTTTTTTTTTTTTTGCTTTTTTTGGCACAAATACTTTATACTATTTGGACCCACATAATTTGCCAATACAAATAATAATAAACTCAAAATAATAAATATTGATATATTGACTTCAATTAGTGCCTTTGCCACGTGCCTTGACCAAATGCTCCAATTCTTCAATTTGTCTTTTCTTCACACCAATTCCATTTTCCCTTTTCTGCATTTCTTCTGCAACTTCCCCCAAAGACGATTTCTTCTCCAATCTGATCTCGAAGGTGACGCTTATATTTTGGGGCCCTTCAAATTTGGGGGCCCTGTGCGGTCGCACAGCCCGCACGGGCCCAAGGACGCCCCTGATTCACGTCGTTTCTCCATATTTTTTCTCGCACAACACTGGGCACTAGCAGAACATTATTTCAGCAATCCAAAACCTATGTGGGATACACTTACAAGAACTTTTGACGATATAAGCCTTCACAGCTACCCTGACGAAAGGTCTTGGAAGAGGCACCCAGATTTTCCGTCTTTAGAACAACTGCTGGCCGACTATTGGGCCGAAGAGGCGCGTAGAAAGAGGCGTTAATAAACGAATTTCATTTTCCATGTGCTTTCAGTTTATGTTTTCTGTACCGTCCGTTTTGTGTCATCTTGGATTCATAGTGGCAATGTGTTTTCAATTTATGTATTATGTAATGTTCCATATTTGGTAATAAATTGTCTTTCATTTGCATAAATGATTGCACAGTAATTATTGAGATACAGTAATTTCGTCTTCATCTACAAAAAGAAAATGATACGTGCAATTTAAACGAAAGGGCCCAAATTTAATTAATCTTAATTTTTTTGTTTCAACAAACAATGAACGAATTTTCATAACAAAATTTATCGCCAGGGTAGTGTCCAAATTTACTCCAATGTTGCGCTTTGATTTCGGCGTTACTCCGAAGTTGTGAACAGTGCGTCGCTGGATGTAGCGATGCACTGTAGATAACTCTACAATATTTTTTTGTTTTTTTTTTCTTGCTTTTTTGTGTATTATTATTGGTAAATTTTTATATAATGCGTATTAGTAAATGTATTTTTTATGCTAAACAATTTGTGCAATGTCTTTTTTTTATGCTAAATAATTTTGTGTTTTTTTATTTATTGATGTATTATAATTTTATTTTGTAATTTTTTAATATTAAAATAATACCATATGAATAAAAATTTAACACAACTCATTTTTCTATTATTCACACGTGAACTCAAGTTTCTCTAATTAAATGCTCGGAACTCTTAAATACTCGATTAAATGTCTCGCATGACATCGTGACTGAATGATCTACACTTCCCAACTCAATTATTGGTAAACCGAAGTCACACGCGGCCGTGCGGGGCCCACGTAAACAGCTTTTTTTTCATTTATTTACATATTCATATATATATAGCAAATTGTTTGAAAATAAAAATAAATAAAATATATTTTTATTATTTGAGTAATTTTACATTTTATATAAGAATAAATATACATATACTAATTAATTTGAAATAAAAAATGAATAAAAAAATAATATATTTAATGTAGAGTAAAATGTAGAGATAACTGGAGATGAATGTTCAACTCTACTCTAGAGTATAGTAGAGTAAAGTCCGCGTTGCAGTAGAGATAATGGCTGGAGATGGCCACGGGCCAATCTATATTACCGACTATATATTTTATTTGGTGAGGCACTTTGTATTATTGCTGTTAGTCAAAGAAGGTCACATGTAAAGCTGCGGTCATAATTTTTTTTATTTAAAGTTTATTATTATTTTTTCTTTTTTCCTCCAGTCCATTCCAGCCCCATGCCCTGCGACCTACTCAAATGACCTGCTTTCTTTAATTATTTTTTTTTTCCGCCCCATGCCCTGCGACCTCCTTCTTTAATTTACACCCTGTAAATCTTCTCCTGATTTTTTTTTTCGCCCCACGCCCTGCTTCGGCCCATGCCCTGCTTCTTATTTACACCTCTTTTGTTTTTTCCTCCTTTAATTTATACCTCCTTCTTTAAATTACACCTATTTTGTTTTTCCTTGCTAGA